TGTCATTTCCAGGCAACAATCAGCCTGCCTTTATCTGCCTGCCTGTCTTTAGGTTTACATTCCCCCCCCCCAGCCTCTGCCTAGGGAAAGGGCAGTCTTTCCCTGCAGTGGGAACCAAAGCAGCTGACATCATTCTCCTCTCCCCCGTATGATCCGCACAACTACCGTATGAGGTATGTTATGGTTGAAAGTGTGTGAATGGTCCATAGTCCCCCAGGCAGCTTTTAAAACATGAACCTGGGACCTGCACACCATCTGTGGCAGTAATGGGGTGACTGCTGACACCTTTTCCTATCATTTTTTGCCTTGAGGTATTCTGCTTGTGGTGTGATCTGTCTTCTTTGTGGTGTGGCGTGATTGTGTTATTGGGTTTGTTTCTTTGAAAGGGGAAGTGATGTGTTGTGAGTGAGGACATATGTTACCTCAGAATACAGTAGTTCCCATATGCAACTGAAAATTCCAACTGCCTTGGGGGGGGGAGTTTGAGGTGTGGAATGGAGTGAAGTCCAATCAGCTTCCATATGCAAAAGACCTTGAAACGCTGGGCGGGATTGCACAAAGCAGCCAGTCAACCCAGCCAGTGTCTTCTGAGTGGCAGTTCTTCCGGCCAAACACTAAAGGCGGGCATTTTAGAACGTTGGTCCCCACTACTGCTTTATTATAAGGGAGAGATTCTTTTTGTTAGCTCTTCAGATGTTCTAAGTGAGCAGAGTGAATGTGAATGTGGGGTGGGGTGGGGATGGCACTGCAGTAGTCAGCTCTTCCCCCAACTTACTCAGATTCCTATGACCACGTTATAGAGTCTATACATGTACAAGTGTTTGTATATGGGACATTTCGGAACTGGGAGGGGTCGATTTTAACAAATCTGCCTGAGTAAAATCACGCAAATACTTTTAAGTATTATTTTTTAAAATAAACTATTAATGAGTTTTTCATCATAAAATGAGTCTTCTATCACCTAGAATCCCAAATTTTAACAGGATCTCACCTTTGCTAGGCCCATAATTTTTGGAAATACATATGAGGAACATCCTTCTGGACTCTGACCCAGATTGCTAAAGGGTGTGTGAAAGGTAGCCTGTATAAAAAGGAAAAAAACAGAGTCTTCATGAAATCAATGCCAATGCAACTTTTAAGTGTGTATTATTTGCAATGTCTTTATTTTGGGAGCATTTTAGGTCAGAAAACTTGATCAGGAAGTATTTTATATCCCCAAATGTATTGACTTTGAAATAACAGAAGACAACCTCATATATCAGTGTAACTATACTTCTGCATCATTTCTAATAAGACCCTTAAGCAAACATTTCATATCCACACACCTCATGTAAATCCTGCACTTAACTGAGCTTCTGCAGCTAGGAGAAAACCAATGCAAAACAGATAATGCTATGTTCTGGCAGTATTCAGACATCCAGTTGACCACAGTTACATGAAAGTGTTGAAGAACCTGGATTACCAGACTCACACACATGTTGCCTGCTCCCCTCCTCCTCCCTTCTTATGGTGAAAGAATGATGGTTTACAAAAAAACACAAACCCTCTAGTTATTTGTGATGTATGAATGTAGGAGCATGGCTTAACCAGGATTACTTTTCCTTCTGCTAACTGGGAACCTAAACCAGGACAACACCCCAGTTAGGAATTTCAGCTTGCATGGATAAAACTAACTCCAGTTATGCTGTGCTCATGTGTTCTTATGCTATGGCCAACCAGAGTTAGGGTTAAACTCCAAATTTCTTCACTGTGCTCGTGTGAGAAGGGAAGGAGATAGGGTTGCCAGATCCAGGCTGGGAAACTCCTGGAGATCTGGGAATGGAGCCTGGGGAGGACAGGAACATCAGTGGGGTACAGTGCCATAGAGTCTGCCCTCCAAAGCATCAATTTTTCCCCAGAGGAACAAATCTCTGTAGTTCAGAGATAAACTGTAATTCCAAGGGATCCCCAGGTCCCACCTGGAGGCTGGCATCCCTAAAAGGAGGATGTGCTAAGCATGTATCTAAGCCTAGCAGAAACTAGGTTCATGCCCGTTTTGATTCAACCAGGGTTATACTGGATCTCTGAATGCAGTCTCTTTCTTCCCAGTTCCAGTTTGCAATCTCAGAAGAACAACTGAAGAGGCAAGCTGAGGACCCCTCTTTCAAATCTCATAGAAATCCTCTGCCCACCGTCCTGGGGTGAGAGAATGGAGTGCAAGAGGGCAGAGGCTCCAGTGCAGGGTAATCTTGGCCACTGACACACTGATCAGCTCGCGGAGGAGCCTTTTTCAGGCAGGATTTGTAACGGCTATATTTTCTACCACCAGACAAGAGAGCTAAGCCATTTATTTTAATTAGTTGTACTGTAGTTTTATTACTGTCTGATGCCTTGAAGTTTCCTTAGGAACAAAAGGGGATCTATAAATTAAACACCTAAAGTAACTTCTCTTTCTACAAAGACTTCACATTGGAGATGGGAGATGATAGTGCAGAGGACTTACCCTGTCAGTAGAATATACCACGTCAAAAAGCCCAAGGACAGTTACAGAGATTCCAACGGCTGGCCCATTCACCACAGCAATCAATGGTTTAGGAAAATCAATAAAATGCTTGACAAAGTTTCTGAAAAGAGAAAGGAGCAGTCTTCTTCACTGCCAGTAATTTATCCCATGTCACCACAAACTGGAATACTGCCACGCAATGTAATAATGCAGACATTCCATCATCCCTGAGTGAACAGTGCCAAATAATTTCAAAATACCAATTGCAAATGCTAAAATTTTCTGTTACTTTATGCCTTGTATGAATATTCTTCCTTAGTACCCAATCTTAACATGAACTACAAAAACTATGGAAAGTGCCAGTATCTAACAAGATCTGCAAGTGCAACGAATGGAACTTTCCCATTTCCCTTTCCTGCTGCAGCTCACTAAGGTCCAACCTGCATATCCGGGTTCCGAACAAGCTGGGTCTGGGTTCCCTGGACCCAACGCAGATTTCCCGCAGCACGCAGCAGCAGTGGGAAACAGTTTTTAAAAATAAAAGGAGAGCCCACCTGAGGTAGAACAGTGCTGCAAGGGGAGGAGGGCTCCCCACTCAAGCCTTTCCCCCCTGCTGAAACAGCACTGGGGGAGAGTTATTTCCCTGGTTTTGCTGCTAAAGAACCCTCCTCAGCATTTTCTGCACTGGAAAAGGGCTTGGGGGAAGGCAAGAGCCCTCCCTCCTGCCACAATGGAGTTCTGAGCTTGTTCAAGTTCTCCTTTATTTTTAAGGCATTTCCTGCAGCTGCTGCGTGGTTGTGGGGAACCTGTACCTAACTTGTTAAAAACCTGAATATGCAGTTTGTCCCTTAGCTGCCTCCATTTGCTTGGGAGGAGGGTCAGAGAACCCTCATGATCAGCATACAGGAACAAAGTGAGAAACTACTGAGGGAGAGCAAAAGTGACAGACCAATTTCCCACAAGCCGCTGCTCTGCGCTTGCTCTTCCCTTTGCCCCATCGTACATGTCAATTTCACACCATGTGCCGTGCGGCTGCATTTTGCCCTGCAGCTTCACCCGATTTCCCCTGTGTCTACTCAATGACTGAATAGACACGGGGGAAATCAGTCGAAGCTGCGGGGCAAAATGCGAGCGCGGCGCAGCGGCTTGTGGGAAATCGGTCACAGTGTTACAGAAATCACCTTCCATCATCCAAAACCTGTGGAAGGATAGAACCAGTTTTTCAAAGTACTGAGTGTTTCACATCCCACTTTTCAGTAATACATCTTTCTCATCCTCAATCATTTCGTGTTTCATTTGTAGCCTGAAGGCACTTCTTTCCCATTGATTCTCTCATGCTGTGATGCTTCAGAGTGAATTAGACCAATGATGCTAAATTTGCGGATGATACGAAGTTGTTCAGGGTGGTGAAAACCAGGGAGGATTGTGAGGCACTCCAAAGGGATCCGTCAAGGATGGGCAAGTGGGCATCAACATGGCAAATGGGGTTCAATGTGACCAAGTGCAAGGTGATGCACATTGGAGCCAAAAATCCTAAATATAAATACACATTGATGGGGCCTGAACTGGCAGAGACTGAACAAGAGAACGATCTTGGAATTGTAGTAGATAACTCACTGAAAATGTTGAGACAGTGTGTGACTGCAATAAAGAAGGCCAGTGTTATGCTGGGGATTATTAGGAAGGGTATTGAAAAGAGATCAGCCAATATCATAATGCACCTATATAAATCAATGGTGCAACCTCATTTGGAATACTGTGTGCAAGTTCTGGTCACCACACCTTTAAAAGAATATTATAGCTTTTGAAAAAGGGCAGAAAAGGGCAACTCAAATGATAAAAGGGTTGGAACACTTTCCCTATGAGAAAAGGTTAACGCACTTAGGGCTCTTTAGCTTGGAGAAACGACGACTGATGGGTGACATGATTGAGGTTTATAAGATTATGCATGGGATAGAGCAGGTAGAGAAAGAGGTACTTTTCTCAGTTTCTCACAATACAAGAACTCGTGGGCACTCCATGAAATTGCTGAGCGGTCGGGTTAGAACGAATAAAAGGAAGTACTTCTTCACCCAAAGAGTGATTAACACATGGAATTCACTGCCACTTGAAGTGGTGGCGGCTACAAGCATGGACGGCTACAAAAGGGAATCGGATAAACATATGGAGCAGAGGTCCATTGGTAGCTATTAGCCACAAGGTATAGATAGGAACTCTCAGTCTGGGGCAAGTGATGCTCTGTCATCTTGGTGCTTGGGGGGGTCAACAGTGGGAGGGCTTCTAATGTCCTGGCCCCACTGGTGGACCTCCTGATGGCACCTGGTATTTTTGGCCACTGTGTGACAGAGTGTTGGACTGGATGGGCCATTAGCCTGATCCAACATTGGCGTCTCTTATGTTCTTATGCTCTTATGCTTCTGCTTCTCTGGGCCGTCTCTAAAGAGCCTAGTAAAGGGGTTTAATTTCTTCATATAATTTTTTTTCCTGATCAACTTTATTATGTCATAATATATGGATACCTTGCCTTATAAAACTAATTATAGAGTCGAACAAAATTCGAGTCCAGTGGCACCTTTAAGACCAACAAACTTTTATTCAAGGTATAAGCAACTAAAGTAAAAACGTAATACTTTGGGAAGGATTGCACAGACTGGGACATTTTCCACAGTGTCAGGTTTCCCTCTGTCTGCTCTTCTATTCATCCACAGCTTTCCCTCGTTTCCACAGATGATTTCTCCCTCCCAGGAGCAAAAACGCAGTTTGTCCCCTCTTGCGGCCCAGCATGGGAATTCCTGGAAACAGGGAAGTCTAATGCTGCAGAGCAACAAGGAACAAACTACATTTTTGCACCTGGGACTGCGAAAACGTCTGCAGAAATAAGGGAAAACAGCAGAGGAATACAAGTGCAGGCATGGGGAAGCTTGACACTGTGTAAAATCTGAGACATTTTAAGATGCGGGGGAGTGCAAAATCTTGTTCCGCTCTATTGGTGTGATTTATGCATCTGTTAGCCCAAATCAAGTGACTGTGCAAGAGCCACTGTTGGCTACTCTAGGCCACTGCTTTCCATGAGTGCTGTGGACTCACAGTCTTGGTTTCTCGCTCCCGACCCCTTTAGGGTGGTTGCAGTCAGTGATGTTAGCACAAACAGGAAACACCTTATAAGATAGATACCTCCTGATGTGGCTTACAGCTACCTCCCCTGCTGTAGGGAGGTGGAAGCTCTGCTGCCTGGATTAGCAGAGATCATACTGAGATGCCCTCCTTCCCAGAAAATATGTGGATTGAGCGTGATCAGCACACTGATCCAGAGCACTGGCCCTAGGGAGGTTCTCTCAGTCCCACATTTCCCAGCCTTTGAATAAGAGCATAATATCTAAGGAAATGTTAGTTACATTATGTTGCTGTTGTTAATGACGATGATGATGCCAATCATCAACATCTTAAATGACAGTAGGTCTCATCCTCAAGGGCATGTCTACACAGCAGCTCTGCGGTCTAGTTAGAGATGCTGTTAGAGATGTAAAATTTCTGAAAAATTTGAAACCATTGGGGGGGGGGCAGGGTTTTTTTTGGAGGGGATGGAAATTTGGGGGGGGGATCCTTGTGCTGTGGTGGCAGCTGCTGCCAAAGCAACATTTTTTTAAAAATCTGCACGGCCAATCAAATCTCCAGTAGCCAATCAGAAGCCTTGCTGGGCAAAAGCCCTACCTGGCCCTGGCCATTTCCCTAAAAACACTTGGCAGGCACTGTAAAAGGTGTTGGCAGGCACTATGGCACCCAGAGGCACCACGCTGGGGACCCCTGGCCTCACCAGATGGTATGCGGGAAGTTCTATGTCACGATCCCCCAATGTAATATTTCTGGGTTTCCATATAGGGACCAGAAGAACTAGTTCAGACAGTTTTAATCTAAGGAGCAACTCCAACATGCAAGCACTCTCCACTAGCTGAACTGGTCCTTTGAACATGTGACCTTAGGGAAGGTCTTCAAATAAACAAGTTGGGAGAAAATGTGGCTGCACGTGTCTGTGAATGCGTTCACCCGTGCCACCCACATTCTCCTTTGGTTCGTGAGTCCCCTGAGTGTTGCCTCCTTACCAAAGACGAATGGTGCAAGCTTGGAAACCACTAAGCGCTGGCAGAGACACTCAAGCAAACGCCTCTTCTTACAATAAAATTTATCTTTATTAAGAAAAACATCCCAAGGCTTGCCAGGCAAGGTGGCTAGCAAGACACTAGGCCAGCTGCCAACACAATACAGTCCTATTTAGTGAAAACACAGAAACTAAAACATGCAAGCAAAGTTTTACCCCCCCCCCCAAAAGCATGCAGAAAACAAAAGGCCTTCCGGGCTAACTCCTAAATTTTCTGGAGAGCAATGCCTCTCCTGATTCCTTCAAGAGTCAGCGAAGGTCTGTTGAGACTGACTAGCATTTATACCAAATGATCAAAGGGGGTCCCCCAATAATTAAATTACAGTTGTAAATTAACATTTTGAAATTGAGATTATTGACAGGAGATTGCTTCCTTGCGTCTCACACTCCAAAAGTTACATTTTGTTTACAGGACCAGCACAGTGTCATTGTTTTTTCCTGGTGTTCCCAACACTGAAGATAAACTATTCTTTGATGTTATCTCTGAGATAGAAGTGGGGGGGGTGAATCCCTGTATCTCAGGAGTCACTTCGTCTTACGGATTGAAGTCTGTCACTGCCCAAATGGCCTTTCCTGTTAGATACATTTTATTGTCTAGGAAATTGAGTCTCACACCTATGGGAATTTACATTGATTCAGATCCTGGGAATGGAATGGGCAAACCTTTGCCTACATGACAGAGAGGAGTGCTCTGCCTGGAACAAAGGGTTTGCAAAGCATCATGGGGTTTGGTTCAGTGAAGCAGGCCAAGCCTGTTTGCTGTTTTGCTAGCAAAGACAGAGACAGATACATGGATTTTATAAATTATTTGGTTCATTTTAAACCCAAACCTCCTATATTTCTAAAATGTCTTACCACACAACACACTAAGACTAATATGAGGGAATATCCTGAAATTCTATCACAACACCAAGTGTAATGCATCCATCTCAGACCGCGTGTGCAGCCATTTCACAATGCGGTCATGCGAAGCGACCGAGCTTCACTCTCAGTAACAATGGGACAAGCGGATCCTAGCCGGCACCTATCAGAAGCCTGTGGAACTCTCAGCTACTGTAAATAGCCAATCACTTGGGTGTGGGTGTGCTTGGGGTGTGGGGTTTTGCACATATAAAGCAGCCTGCGAGCTGGGTGCTCTCGTCTTGTTCTGAGCTGAAATAAAGTATGAGAGCTGAAATCACTAGTAAGTCTCAGTACTTTTCACCAAGCATTTAAAAAAAAATAATTTATCAGGTTCTTAGGCGACCAATTTGCACTGGGACTGTGTTGCAAGGCAAAGATTGTTTAAGACCCCCTTGACCTGTTTTACTAATCTAAAATGGCTGCAGGAGCCATTATTTGCTCTTCTGAAAAATCTAACATGTTACACCACACTTTTCTTGTGGGGGGGGGGTTTTCCAGGATTTGGGGTAGGGCTGCCAGCATCCAGGTCCAGGTGGGGATTCCCCCACTTCTGGGGGCTTCAATCTGCCCCCGGTCAGCGGGGGAAGCTCCACCCCAAGCCCCACCCCCAAGAGTGACCACCTGCCTAGCCACCCCTCTCCCTCCCCTCCTGCCCAATTTAAAGGGCTTCAGCTGATTGGTGGGGACCACATGGCCCTCCCATCAGCTGGAGGACCCCTTAAATCTAGAAGGAGGGAGGGAGAGGGGCCGTTGCTAGTCGCACACTTGGCTCGCAAAAAGACCCTTTAAAGGGTCTTTTTGTGAGCAGGTTGGGAGCCGTGGCGCACAGGGCTGGGGGAAATCTGAACAATTAATTCTGAGCAATAATTAGGCTACACGTTTCATTTCTCATTTCTTAAAATCTCAGTACTTCTTTCTCTCCTGCCACACCCTTTGTGATATCTCCTGTGCATGTCAACATAGTTTGAAATAAGACTTACTTGAGCAGCTTTGCACCATTATCTGCCATTTCCTTTATCCCACCCGCTGAGACATTAGCAAAGTTGTTCAGGTCATTTCCACTACAATAGTAATCTCCACTTCCTGCAGAAAAACACATATCAGGGATTCTGATAATGTGAAACAGTCAAATGGAAAATAACCATATTATGTTCGCATAGATTTTCTAAACTGAAACTTTCCGTTTATTACAGACATGATACAGCAAGTTAAGCACTTTTGATGTCAGATGAGATATATTTATAAACATGATTCCTTTCCTCATCAAAGTCAGTGGGACTCAACCCACTTTGACTCAAATAAATTTTTTAAAAACCTAGTAAACAATAAAAAGAATCTTTCTTTTTGATGCCTGGGCTTACTATTTCAACTTGTACATAGTTCCAAAAAATAACTGATGTTTTGTAAGAATTTCTTCTATACTGGACATCACTGTATAGTTTGCAGAGTTTATTTACTTAGGAATATTATTTGAGGTTCTATACAGCTACAGGGGAAACCAAAATCAGCTTCGTTTAGAGATGAGAAGGTCTAGGATTGAGCCTTTGGACTTCTCACACTGTGTGGTGAGCTCAGCCACAAAATGGCTGCTACAGGTTACTGTCAGCTACACAGTGAAGATGCTTGTGCTGTGGTGGCAGTTGTTGCCATTTTTTAAAATCTGCAAATCTCCAGTGGCCGATCAGAAGCCTTGCTGGGCAAAAGCTCCATCCGGCCCCACCCACTTTCTAAAAAACATTTGCCAGGCACCTGAAAAGGTATTTGTGGTACCCATGGATACCACACTGGGGACCCCTTGTCTAGGAAAAATAAGTGAACATTTTTATGGGGGGGGGGAGGAAGCTTTTCTACATAAACACTCACATACAGGAGGGTTTTTTAAAAATTTCCTGTGGAAAAAATCGGAAATTCCACTTATCAAATATTTAGAACAATGAGAAAAATGACTTTTAGTGCAAGGTTTTTTTTAAAAAAGTTCCCATTTATTACTTCAAGATGCTGCCTAAGTAGTATGTAGCTACATTAAATACTATATAAGAAAATATATAATTTTGCAATCTGTCAGGTGAGCAAAGGTGTGAACACCCTGGGAAGCAAGTTAGGGTTCCCAGCTCTGGGTGGGGAAATACCTGGAGATTTTGAGGGTGGGGCCTGGTGAGGGGATGGTCTGCAACAGGGTACACTGTCATAGAGTCCACCCTCCAAAACAGCCATTTTCTCCAGGGGAACTGATCTCTGTCATCTGGAGATCAGTTGCAATAGCGGGAGATCTCCAGGCCCTACCTGGAGGTTGACAACCCTAAACAATACCTTGCGAAAGCACTTTCATATCTCTTCAACTTTCTTGGCCTTAATTATAAATATTCAAGCTGGGGATGCAAGAAATTCACTTGGCCGCCCACACTGACCCCCCCCCCCCCCCGTGCCCCCCCCCCCCCCACTGTTCTCCTCTTTTTCAGGCTACCCTCCTTTCTCTTTCTCTCTTTCCCCTCCTTCATAAGATCTCGGTCACCATTCTCCAGTTTGAGAAAAATTCAAATCTCCCCACCTTATTGACTGACTGATTTTGCAAATCTGGGTTCTCCCTGGATCTCTAGAAACATTCCCAGTCTCTGTACATGGCATAGGTAATATGGATTTATGGATCTGCATTTGTGGCCACGTTTACAATTAGCTAACAGATTTCTTTTTGGAGCTCTTTCAGAAAATGAGGCTTCTTATGTTTCTGGATGACACTGACTAGAAAGGGCTGTATTTCTCTTCCTTTTGTTTACATGTTTACATTGATATTTCCATCATTAACTCCCTTTCCCTCCATTTTCTCAATGGGCAAAAACTAAGATATGCTTAAGTACAGCACCATGTTTCTCCAGCTCTAACACTTGGCATATGTATAGTTACTGTCTGAACAAAATTATACTTTTAGTCATAAATACACCAAGCAGTACACTTACATGTGCTAATATACAAGACACTTTTATATCCTTGAAGAAATAATAAGTAATAAAATATCAGCTCTAAACAGACCTAAACAGCATTTGGTTCAATTTTTTTTTCAAGAAAAATGGCCTGTATCCTGCAGTCACTTTTCATCTGTGTAAGTGTCCTTGTAAAAACGAAAGAGCATTTAATTTTTTTTTTTAAGTGGCTTGCACTAAGTTATATGTGCTGTGTCCAAACCTTGTATTCTGCCTGAATTTGCACAAGGCCTAATACAAGCATCACTCTAGTATAGGGATACCATTCCCCAGTTGGGAGCAGGGGATTCCCCAATTTTTGGGCCTTTTCCCCGCATATGGCCAGTTGGCTGGTGGGGGGGAATCCCACCCCCAAATGCAATGTAACGACATCACAAGGAAGTCACATCATCACGTCGGTGACACTGTGTGGTGCCGCTCTGGTTTTTTGGGCAAAACTCTATGGTGACCATAGAGTTTTGCCCAAAATACCAGAGCACTGGTGCACAGCATCACCAACGTGATGATGTCACTTCCTCATGATGTCATTACCTTGTGTAGGCTCCCCCCCTCCCAGAAAATCCCTTCTCCTCCCCCGCTGCTGGGTTGATCCAACCTGGCAACCCTACTCTAGTGGCTGACAACCCGTTTTGCAGATCACTGTACATAAATAATACTTAACTTGTCTAGTTTTTCATAAGAAACCAGGTATGTATTTGAATTTATTTTGAAAATATACCCCAAAGAAAAATAAACATGGCAGGACAGAACGTGAAAGTACCTGTCAGGACTGTTATAACAGAGTCATCCTTTGCTGCTTCCTCAAGTGCTTCCATAATTTCTTCATACATCTGCACAGGGGCAGGGAAAGTAAAAACAAGAAATATTATGATGCTATAAAAAGAATAATTGTAATTAGCTAGCCACCAAAATTCAAGTTTCTGCTGCATCAAAGATTTGGGGTATGATCCAGAAGACAGGGGCTTCCTCTTCTCATCTACAGGAAGGCTATGTTTAGCAGTAAACAGGGTTAACAGCAAGCCACTATGGAAGCACCCTGAACGCATTTTGGGTACACAAACCCGCATCTTCCCTGGAGTAAACTCAACTGAAGCCTTTTTTCACTTGACTAGCAGCAAAAGCCAGATTTTCAAAATGCAGGATCTTGTGTCAGTAATGAAGCTTCACCATCCTGTTTCTTGGAGCAGTTTTTAGAGTGTTTAAGCATTCTAAAACATTTTTTCCCTAAACAAGCAGACAAAAGGCATGAACAGATAAAATATGAAGGTGCTTGAAGAAAAAACAAAAACATAGTAGACAGCCTGCTTAAAACACGGAAGGAAGGGCAAAGAGAGTATCATTCACATATCACTACAGCAGAGTCAAAGGGAAGCAGAGCTACCCAGCAGCAGAAACACCTGCGTCCTGCAACCCACTCCCCTTTCCAGGTACATGTATATGCTACCAGAGAATCAATCCAGGTACACAGAGACATTTCCAACTTAAGCACACAGGACACCACACTCTTCTCTCTTTGTGGCTCTGTGAACACGCTTTGATTCTCCTGTAATTGGATCTATGGAGAAAGGAGACACTTACAAAGGATCAGGGACTTTACAAAAAGAATTTATAGAATCCTTTTAACTGTGTCAGGATGAGATTTGTTTGGTCTGGGGAATGAGTGCAAAGCCAAATTAAAGTAGCCATGTGGTTGCTTTTCATGCTATGCTTTTTCCTGTCCTGCCAGCAATAGCCAACGAGGTGGAAGTGAGCAGCTGCACTGTGTGAGGGACCTCTGACACAACAGGTGTGTGCATAAGGTTGCTAGTCCCCAGATGGTAGCTGGAGATATCCAGGCGACAAAGACCAGTTCACCTAGACTGCGTTGGAAGGTAGACTCTATGGCATTACACCCCATTGAAGTCCCTCCTCTCCCCAAACCCCACCTATCTCTGGCTCCACCCCAAAAACTCTCCTGGTATTTTCCTACCTGGGGATTGCAAACCTTTGTGAGAACCTGACATCCATTTTCAGCAACAGTTTGTAATGTTCACTCAGTTCATTAGACAAAGCTGGCTTCTGTTAAATCTGCTAGTTATTAAAGGGTCTGAGTTTCTGTTTGTTTTTTGTTTTTTCAGGGGAAGAGGTGACGGATTAGGCATCCTTCTTCCCTGTTGAATCAGATGGTGCTGGATTAGCGCTGAATATGCCCATTACATGGAGAGCCCAATTACATTACAAATGGAAGGATAAAATATATAGACCCAGAAGTTAACTGCATCACCTTTACACTGATTGCGTTTTTCATTTTGGGGCGGTTTAATACTATTTTTGTGATGTTGTCCTCAGTGAAAACCTCTATCGTTTCATAGCCAGACTTGCTGTCAGGAGGGTTCTCCTTAACGTGACTTGAAGATTCTGAAGACACCAAGCTTGACACAAGATCGACATATTGCTGCCTGGCACTCTCCTGTAATGAGAAATTTGTTTAATTAATGTGAGATAAATGCCAGATTACGGCTTGCCTGGCCACCTAGAAAGAAGGATCAAAGTACAAAATGGGGAATTCAGCATCAATAAGAGCCTGAGCCAGTTTTTCCAAAATATATAGAAAATATAAATGTATCTGCTACAGTTTTGAGTATATTTTTGGAAATTCTTTGTTACTGTATAGTGGTTGCGGATCTTTGTCCTGGCCTTCACAAGGCACCGGGCTGTTTCTTCACTCGGAGTTTTTCCAGGCCACCCCCCAAGTCACTAGTTGGCAAACTGCCTATTTCCCCCTTCTGCCCTTTATTTGGAAGCCGCCGCCACCACTCACTCCATGGATAGTGTATAATTGGCCAGATGAGTGGGACTCCTGCCCTCTATGTCTCTGGAACCTTGTGCTGGCTCCACTCTCTTACTGTGTTTACCACCTTGCTCAACTGAGCTCCAGAGTGAATAAGCAAACACCCTTTCATGCTATCGAGGATGAAGGAATTTTTTTTTTAAAGGAATCATGCACATACTCCAGATTCCTTTAAGGCAACAGGACTGAGCAAAAGATGAAAAACAAAATGGCAGGACATCTCATCCTGACTATACTTGTTCCTAGCCAATGTAACTCTTAGGGGTGCAAGACCTGAGAGAAGAGCCATTATCTTGAGTTCAAGGTTTGGGCTTCTTTCCATTGTGTGGCTACGTATAATCAAAATGGAGTCCAAGGGAATTATTCATGCCAGTGGGCATGGAGTCCAGAGATGCACACAATGCAAGATAGCCTGGGTAGAGAGAGAGAGAGATTTTCCTTCTGTGTCCAGGGAATTTGTAATCTCTAGGGTCCCTATTAGTAGAGATGACTGTGTGTCTTTTCCTGTTTGACAGGGGAAGGTGACACAGCTATCCTCTCTGGTGGTAGTGTGATTTTTTGCACATTTGATCAGACACTGGCATCGCCCATTTGCATGTCCACTGGCTTGATTGTCCTTAGCTGCAAGTCAATTTACAGCCTACTTGTTTCCAGTGCCTGATTAACCCTGAGAGATAGACATTGCTTTCTTACACCAACTCTGCAAGGTAGGCCACGTACAGTGAACCTTAAGAGGAAATTATGGGGTGAAGGGCCATTCTCTTTTAAACACAGCTATGTACTCTGAAAAACTCCTGTGTAAAATATAGGTTTGATTGGAGAACAAAAGCAAAATGTTAGAATGATGGTTTCAACACGACTGTACAAACACAAGCAATGACCGAATGCAAGTTAAACATTTTAAATGCTATTGATTTCAATGGCAGAGCTGCATATTTAAGAGTGCTGAAATTTCTTGGTGACTGTGAAACTTCTAAATGGAATCATATTCCCTCTGTAATATAGAACTTTAAAGTCCTTTTCCTTAGATCAATTATTAAAAATATTATTTAACATATATTTATATATCACCCTGAGCCATCTATGCTCCACATGTTTTATTAAACACCTTACCACATGTAGGGTCACCAGCGACCAGACACAAGGGTCAGATGTCAGCTTCTTGAGTCCAAGTGAGAAAGGGGGATAGGACGGACCCCTTCCACTTCCCTCCCTCAGAGGCTAGATTTTCACTTGTTCTTCTGCCCCCTCACTGACTGAGCAGCCTTGGTAATGTGTTTTCTTCTCCCCTGAAGAACCTTTGGCTGTCCCACCCTGTCAGTAAGATATATTTTAGCTATTTGCTCAGCCCAGGAACCTGAGGGAAGGAATAGGATCGGCCTCTAACTTAAACCCTTGAAAATGGCACTTGAGATGATTTTAAAATTCAAAAATAACAAAAGGTTTTAATTGATATCAAAGAAAAAGGTCAGGTGAAAGCAGGGGTTGAAATTACTGAGGCTGAAAAACTAGTACAAGCACAGACTTTTGACAATTAATTAGATCTTTATATTGGGAGGCTTTTGTTCCAGTGTTTCCCAAACACTCTGGTTTACATTATTTGAGTAATCGCTGACTTTCTTGGTGCCCAGACAGCTGGTATCCTCTTTCCAGTACTCAAACACTTTCTCTTGGAATACCAGTACTCTTCTTGAGCTGTTCACTGACTTTTAAGGTCTCTACAGGCAGTTTCTAATCACACCGGATTAGGGATCTCTGTATTCCTCAGAGATAACTCTCCCTGTTTGACTGGGTAGGGAATCTTCTTCTCTCTCTAGATCTATCCCCTTTTGAGCTGAATGGGAGTTTTCTCTACTACCCAAAGTTCCTTGCCAAACTTTCCCCCAGTTCTCTGTCTGTGTTCAAATTGCTCTCAGCTACTGCTGAATTCAGACTGCATTCAGTCAAGGTTGAAATCTGACTCTGTCAGCACTAAACCCTTTTTCTGTCAGGGCTATTCACAGAGGGTCCCGGTACATGTCTCTTCTAAGTTGAGGCAGGAATCTGACTGAATCACCTCAGCATTCAGCTCTTTCAAGACATTTTTTGCTCAGCTGATGCTAACCAATCAGATTGCTTAGAGCAGCCTGTCACTCAAGGCTCTATGGCTCTGTGAAGAATTAACCCTTCACAGTCCTTTAGCTGTTGGTATAGCACTTCTAAGCCTATAAGTAAATATAAGGCAAAGACTGGACAACATTTTTGAAACATTTACAGGGGCAACTAACAGAGCATTTATAAATTAAATTTCCAGTGGCCAGGAGAAGACATTCAGTACCCAATATTGTTTCCCCCCCTTCCCCGTGATTAGCAAAAAAATCAATTATATACACTAACTACATGAGTAGAGCTTTGTTTTGTTTTTCATGCCAAGCCTTAATTGTATTCAGGCAACATACAACAAATTTACATGCACATGGCTGTAACGCTAAATAAAATTAATTTGCAAATAATGGTGTACTGACCTGTGGCAAAGAGCCAAGTGAATTCCATGCATCCCATTTGGCCTTGTTGACAAAATCTAGCATGCCTGGTTTGGGGGTATTGCAGGGACCCTGAGTTGCCTACATGAAGGAAATATATATATATATATATTTCTGTGACCTTTCAAATTAGTTTATACGGCTTAACCAAGAAAACAAAAGCACAGAATCAGCTATAGGGCTTGCATATGGACAAAACCTGGACAAAACCTGGACAAAACCTTGAGCTAGTTCACTCAAGGTTCTTATAATGCTGATATTTATAGACATCTGTATTAACATTTTTATACTAACATCTCAAGATAATAAAGGCATGCATACGCCTTCAGGTATAATAGTGGTCTGTGCACACTTCTGAAGCAGCATGCACAGCCATCCTGAAGAGCTCATGTAGTCCTTGCATCCCTATTGTGTGGATGTGTGTTCAGCATCTTGGCCAGGCTACGCGCTGTCTCCTCTCCATCTTTGTGGTATTCATGGGCCCAAATGTCCCCACGCCCCTACAGGACGGGTAGTGACATGCTACTGCTGCTTCTGCTGAAAAGATCCTGTGTCTAAAAGCTTGGGAAGAAGGTGGGTTGTTCACAGTGCTGTCCTCAAAAGAGTTACACCAATTGATTTCAGTGGATTTATAAGGAAATAATTCTGCTGAGGATGGCACTGTCAGTGCTTCAAAATAAGGAACGCCAGAGCAGATGGCCTTGTTAAGACATCGTAGCCTGGTAGGGGAGGGAGGATCACACCAGTTTCTCAGGGACACTGTATGCTGATCTGTGTGTGGAACCAGCGTGGTAACGTTGGGTTGCCAGCTACAGGTTGGGAAATTTCTGGAAATCTGGGGGTGGAACCTGAAAATGGCATGTTTCAGGGAGGGGGCACCTCAGGGGTGTACAATGGCATACAGCCCACCCCCCAAATCTTCCATTTTCTCCAAGGGAACTGATCTTTGTGGTCTGGAGATCAGTTGTAATTCTAAGAGATCTCCAGGTCCCACCTGGGGGCTGGCAATCCTATATAATGATAACGTCTTTTGGGATGAAAAAGAACAGAGATAAAGGAGAAAGCATTGCTAAATAAAGTTGGCAAGTCGTGAAGAAAGTTTCTTTCATTGCAAATGGCAAATGGGACATGTCACTGAAACACCAACAAAACCAGACCCCGCACATATACTCTTCTCCTCTCAAGCCCAGTGCAAGCAGAATGTAATGAGCACATGGAATGGGGCAGGGGGGCAAGTGATTGCACTGGCTGGTCCTGATCTCAACCTCCAGACATTCATCAGAATTTGTGTACATATACACTCCAACTATGAGCCCCGAAGCGTTTTATATTCTGCCAACCAACATCTTCTGGTGGTCCCCGGCCTCAGGGACGTCTGTCTCACCTCGACTAGGGCCAGGGCCTTTTCTGCCCTGGCCACTACCTGGCGGAATGAGTTCCTAGATGAGATCAGGGCCCTGCGGGACCTTTTACAGTTCTGCAGGGCCTGCAAGATGGAGCTCTTCCGCCAGGCTTTTAGTTAGGGTGGCAGGTGTCTCCCCACTCTACTGCCCCCCCCCCAGTAGTCAAATGCACATGACAATCTAAGGATCCAAATTTGAAATAGATTGCATCTGTGAGGCTTTAACTATGATTTGTACCAAAGGAATGTTGTTGTATTATTTTTTTTTTGGGGGGGGGGTTAATTCTTTTAAATTCTTTGTATATTGATGATTATGTTTGATGGAACCTGCCCTGAGCCTCTTATGTGGGGAGGGTGGGATATAAATCCAATAAAATAAATAAATAAACACTCTGTGTGTGATATGTACTCTCCATTTTTGCAAAATTGAGAGTCCTACTACATGATATACATTCCCTGAGTATGTCTCTGGGTCTCGTTGATGGGCATGGTATGAGAGTCCTATTCTTGGAAGGGCATTCCCAGGACAGGGGCCTGATTCAGAGCAGGACTAGTGTGTGTGAGGAGAGGGGGCTTAAGCCTCCCCCCCGACTGTTTTCCTGACTTGAAATGGCCCCAAGGAACTGCTATTTGCCCTGTTGAGAAACTTGACATGTACTGATGGGAGGAAGTGGGGAAGATCTGGCTCGCTTGCTAGCGGCAGCTGAATACCATCTGGACTATTTGTTTCTCTCTGATTCCAGGTACCTAGCCTGTAGCAAGCAGCATGGGGGCTGTGTTATTTATTTAGATTTATTTAGAATATTTCTATTTAGAATATTTCAGAGTCCTGCTCTGGCAGCTTAATGGAGCAGGACCAGTCCAGGACATGTTTGTGTTTGTTTGTTTTATTCAAATGGCATTATTTAAATTGGTTGTTATAGTTGTATTTTGGAATTTTCAGTAAGCAGCTCAGAAATACCCAAATAAATGGTCAGGAAAATGGTACACGTGGGAAGGCTTTAGCTCTTTCTCTCCGAGCGCTGTGGTCCCAATCCAAATCAGACACCCCCCCTGCACATCTGGGTATTGAGATTTCAGCACAGAACTCCAGGGACACATATGATTCAAAGTTGTCCTGGCAGCCCCATGCCTGTCACATAGGCTTGGTAACATATGAATCAGCCCTCATTTTCTCCATTACATATTCTGGACAGCCAATGGGAGGAAATATGGATTAAGAAAAACAGAGACGAACTCAATAAAGCTCACTGGACACGGTTAGCTTCGTATTTCTAAAACAAGCTGGGATTTGTGCAACTGGCTGCATATTCTAAGGAAACTCTGAGTTAGCCTGCCTAAGCAAAGTATTCCAACAATCTTAACAAATACAAGTACATTTACAAAATGAAAATGGCTGGAGTTACCTGTTTAAACAATGCATAAAGCTTCAGCTTTACTTCATTACCAGGATCAACCTTCAAAAGTTTCAGCTGATCTTTCGCCTTTTCAAAGTCTTGCTGACTGACCTGCATGCCAGGTTTAGTAGTGTGTAATTGTGCTAGAGGAAAATAAAGAGCACACGCTGTATTCCTGAAAAGGAAAAACAAACAAACTAGTATTTATCCAATTAAAATATTCAGTAAATGACAGAATGAATGCTTGTTCAAAAGGTTGCAAATCATCATCGGAGCAAAGATCAGCTGCATTAAAATCACAGTTAAAGATTAGCTGTGATATAATTAACCTTTAAGCAAGATTATGCAACCTAATCCTTAAAGTAAACACGGAGCTCTGGATTTTGTCAAGCAAAAGGAAATGTACTACTTAGTTTACTTATTAGAATATTTCTGATCCCACCTTTCCATCATTAATAAAATGTCTAAGACAACAAACAATAAATACTGAAGGTAATATCAAACTGGAAAACTGACACAATCAACAAGTCCTATCAAGTAACATCTAAACCAAAACAGAATATCAGCAGTAACAAGAGGCAAAAGACACTGAGCAACAGAAATAAATCCAATCACCTCTTAGCTCAAATGTAGACTGGAACAGTAGCATCTTAACAAGTTGTCCAAAAGCTGGAAGAAAGAAAGAGCCAGACAGGCCTCTCAGGCTAGAGTTCCAGAGCTCTCTGGATGCCAGATTCCACCTGTGGGGTCAGGGGTCCCCCACTGCCAGGCTGCACCTCTCTGCCACAGATCAGCTGGCTGGTGGGGGGAATTACCCCCAAATGAGGGAGGAACACCCTACATTGGTTTTCGGGGCTTCAGCTAGTGACTGGCCAGCTGGCCAGTGGGGGAACTCCACCCCCAAATAGCCATGTCCCTGCACAATGATGTCACCTGGAAGTGACATCATCATGTTGGGGGCATTGCATGGGACACTCTGGTTTCAAGGCAAAACTCTATGGTAAATTTGGCCTAAAACCATAAAGTTTAGTCCTCAAACCAGAGAGATGCTGCACAATGTCACCAACATGATGACATCACTTCTGGGTGATGTCATCACATTGGGGGACATCCCAGAATGCCCCACAAATCTCCCTGCAGGCATGGCAAGGGGACCTGGCAGACCTAGGAGTAACAGGGAAGCCTGTCACTGTGTTGGAAACACCAAATTGGCAAGGCAGGAAAAAGCAAAACTATCCCTCTCTCCCCATGCCAGTTCTCTTCCTTGAAAAGCAATCTTGGCAGGTTAATAACAATTGGTTAAAATAAAGAAGGAAGAAATCATAAGGCATAGTTGGGCCTTGCATCATTCAACAACCACCTCCTGTCTACACTCTCAATCATTAGAATATGTTCATTTCTACTGTTTCAAAAACCTGATTTTTGAAAACCTCTGGTATTGGAATCATTACACATCAGTCTATTCCTACAGAACTCAGCATTATAAAATTATACAGTAGATGTATTTTTATAATGCTGAGTTCTGAAGGAATACACTGGTATTAACACATTTGCATTTTAATTTTCCCCCATTTTCAATTCTAAAATCCTGTTCTTGGCAACAATTAGATCATTCCCCTTTCTGACTTGGTTGCATTCTCCAAACACTCTCCCTGGCATCCTTCTTCTGGTTCTTAGACTACTTCATTATAATTCTGAGCTGTTAACTTTATTTACCTCATTAGGGACTGCAGTAACCGCTTTAAAATGATTTGCTTCATCTCCATACAACGCTAGGAGCTTCTATTCTGCAGTTAATCCCTAATTAATAAATAAAGACACCCTTGGCTTTTAGAAGTCACATTTAACAGCAAGAGGATGACCTCTGCTGCAAGAAGATGTTGAGAAAACACTACCCTTTCCACAAGATGAACTCTCTTATCAAGAGACTATTGAGCTTCTGAGATGCCGGCCAGAATCAAAGCAATTTCCCCCCTCCTGAAAAGCCACAAAAGCCTTAATCCAATACAAAGAGCTTTTAAAAGTCTGCACAGCATGAACAACTGCTTAGCTAGAAAGCTGCTGGTAAATTGTGTGTGAGAATAATTACCTGTATGATAGTGACTCTCTGCTTGTAGAACTGATCTCTGACATGAACTGAAAACAGCCGGTTCTTCAGACATGCAGCTTTCTGGTGTGTCAACAATTAAAAAAAGAGCTCACCCGTATTACAAAGGTTACCGAGTGTTGTGCAGATGACAGCTCTTTCAGAAAGCTCTGCAGGTGACACAGTAGAGTGTGGCAAGTAATAAACTCTCCAAGCTTCTCCAATCACACAATAGTATTTATGACTGGCTGTTAAAATGGTGTATGTATGTGTGTTGCCAAGGGGCAATGGTTCTTTAACGGATATGGAGGCAACGAACACACAAATGGTGAAGGAAAATAGACATTATTAAGTATCGGAAGCAATACTCCCTCTAAGCTATGGAGTCTTGTGAGCAAAAATTCTACTTGGTGAGCTACTGGCATTAAAGTTGTGAGCAAGCAATTTGGCTACTGCATAAATTAGTTTGCTCTGGAGCCATCCTTCCTGAGTTAAGACAAAAATGTGTGAGCCAGAAGCTAAAAACTGTGAGCTAACTCACACTAACTCAGCTTAGAGGGAACACTGATCTGAAGTAGTCTACAGGGAAAAAACACATCTAGAGAAAAATCAACACAAGAAAATAATATGTTTACGTCCTTTCAGCTGCCAAGAACTTCTGGAGAATGACAATGGGCAAACCCCCTAGAACTGAACCTCATCACAGACTGGAATCATGGAATGGTACTGCGCAACTGGCCAGTTCCCAGGGGTCTGCCCGTAATCATTCTTCAGGGGTTTCTGACAACTGAAGGTATGTATGCATATTGCTTTCTTTTGTAACTGTGGTTTTCCTTTTAAGCTACTTAATAAAATCTATTTTCCTTAACAGTTTGTGTGTTCATTGCCTCCGTATCTCTTAGAGGGAAAGAATCATTGCCCCTTGGCAATACCATGTGTGTGTATGAGTGTGAGGTAATTTAAACATTTAGTTGTTCGTTGTTGTTCAGTCGCACAGTTGAGTCTGACTCTTCGCGACCCCATGGACCACATCACGCCAGGCCCTCCTGTCTTCCATCGTGCTCCGGAGTTTGGTTAATTTAATGTTCGTTGCCTCGATAACACTGTCCAACCATCTAATCCTTTGCCGTCCCCTTCTTTGACCTGCAATCTTTCCCAGCATCAGGGTCTTCTCCAGTGAGTGCTCCCTTCTCATTTGCTGGCCAAAGTATTTGAGCTTCAGCTTCAGTATCTGGCCTTCCATGGAACAGTCAGGGTTGATTTCTTTTAGGATTGACTGATTTGATCTCCTTGCAATCCAAGGGGACTCAAGAGTCTTCTCCAGCACCATAATTCAAAAGAATCTATTCTTCGGTGCTCAGCCTTCCTTATAGCCCAACTCTCGCAGCCATACAATACTACTGGGAATACCATTGGCAACTTTTTAAATGTCAAATTCTGATCTTAGCTGACAGAATACAACAGAAGAGCTATACCTGGCAGCCTTGAGCACCATCTTAATATATTATGTATGCAATAAGTCACAGAAAACATGATTGGACTGATCTCCTTATAACCCCCCACCCCAATGCTATAACTTTGTCCAGTGAAGAAGTAGACAGAGGAGATGGATGCCCTGCCAGATACAGGCAAAATTATATTGTCTGTTCTAAGGCATCTTCATGAAATCTTCCTGCAGTACAATGATTGGAGGTATGAACTTTGTTCCTTACTTCAGGATCTTCTAATCAGATGACTATCTACGCAAGGACCCCTTTGTACTTCTGTAGGGTTGCTCTCTTACTTTCATGGGCAAGTTGGTTGGTTCTATGGAATGGGCAATATTGCTTATTATCTCACATTGTTCTATCCTCTGTTCCCATGAATGTGGACAGATGGGAATAATCAAATGTCACCTATCTCTGGGAGTACCCCATCCACCATGAACTGTGTTTTGGGAGGGCATGGAATGCAGCAAATAGAATAATAGGTGACACCTGCAAATGTCAAGTATTAACTGTGTAGAGTTGAAAATGCACAGAGTTGGGGGGAGGAATCAACACACCCCAGTACTTGACATCATCCCACGACCACTCCTAGTTCCAGAACATTTGTTCTTGTCAATCCGATGGGGGTGGGGGTTAGAAAATTAATCTATGTAACATACTTGATGAGATGTTGGAGAGATGAAAGCATGTGAGCACTTTGATCAGTGTAAATACACATACAGGAAGAGCTGTAACTTGTTTATTTGGAAGATGTTTTAAGCAGCAGTTACAACTCATTTTTATCTCACCCAGTCTCCAAGAATCTGAGGGTGGCATAGCAACCCTGTGAGGTAGGTTAGACAGAAAGATTAGCTGGCCCAAGATCTCACAGTGAGCTTCAAAGGAAGGATTTGAACCTGAGTCTCTCCATAGGGTTGCCAGCTCTCGGTTAGGAAATACCTGGAGATTTTGGAGGTGGAGCCTGAGAAGGGCAGGTTTGGAGAAGGGAGGGACTTCAAGGGGGTATAATACCATAGAATCCCCCTTCCAAAGCAGTCATTTCCTCCAGAGGAACTGATCTCGATAGTCTGGAGGTGAGCTGTAATCCCAGAGAATCCCCAGGGCCCACCTGGAGACTGGCATCCCTATCTCTCCAGCTGTAATCCAACTCTCCAACCACTGTACTGCCCTGATGGATTTCCATCTGCTGTCATTGATGTCTACAACTGCATGCACACGAGTACATGCTAAAATCAAAAACAGATGTGTGAATGTTACCCAGGTATTAGCTAGTTAAACCCAATTTCTGCAAATCTCCCATTATTTCCCTGTCATGAACCACTTTTGTTCTTTTTTTCTTTCTTTCCAGGAGGACTGTAAATTCGCAGCCATATCTCATGGTGCATAATCTTATTACAGATAATCCTATCAAATGAACAGCATGCCTGCAAGACAATCTTGTCAATATATTCCAAAGCGGAAAAGCAGCATTTCTTTCATCCTTTTAATGATCCTTCCCCAGGCCCAAGAACTAGAGTGTCAAGCTATTGTTGGGAAAGGCTTTTATATTAAATGATAGTACTTTAATAATCAATTAGTTGGTCCATAGTCAGCATGTTT